CACCTTCTAAGAAAAACTCAGGAAGGGGAAGCTGGCCAAATTTCCATGCCTGACCAAGGCAGATGAATGCCAGGCTGGTTCCCATGCCCATTCTGTCCTCCTGCAGAAGGCAAAACTGCCCCTCGGTTCCCATTGTCAACATTCCACACAAACAATGGCCTGGTTCTCTCACCATTGTACATTCTATATTCATCTGTGAATCCCCCCTCTTCCACACAATGTGCAAAGCCCTTCTTTTCATAGGAGAGCTTCTGAATGCCCAAGTGTAGCCATAATTTAGGCCTTCAACATTAATAATGACATCTAAAAGCAAACTCCAGATTAGGCCCAAACATTCATTTGTGGCCATCGTTAGCATCACAGGGATGGCTTTGGGATACTTTTCATTAAATCGTGATCAAAGAGCCACGGAAAAACCTTTAAAAATGGTTCTGAAGTTTTTGGCGATTATTAAATATAATTTTCTAAGCTCAGAGATAAAGCTTAAAAAAAAAAAAACCTTTCAAACGCTATGACACATATTCCATTAAATCCAGATGTGAATAAAAACTAGCTTCAAAAGATGGATTTGGGGAAAGCCTCAAATTTTCCCTACTTTCTATGGGGGGCTGTAACATTAAGTTGCAGTCAAGGTAAATTAGGTCACGCTTACCAGCTGTAAGGGTTAAGGCGATCTACCTAGGCAGCACACCTACAAGTTACCCACTAAGCATCCCTGTGCCCGCAAAACTTTTGGGCACACACAAGCCTCTTGAGCATTCCTGAGCTACCAGTCCACAGAAAGTCTGTTAGTAAGATACCCCAAGATTTCACCAAATGGTGCTACCTCTATTAAGCACAAGGACTTTCCTGTGAAGGGTCAATCTACACTACACTATTTTTTTCTTTTTTTGGAGGGGTGGGGTTTCTAGACAGGGTTTCTCTATGTAGCCTTGGCTGTCCTGGAACTCGCTCTGTTGATCTGGCTGACCTTGAACTCAGAGATCCACCTGCCTGTGCCTTAAGTACTGAGAGTAAAGGCATGCATGACCACTGCCCAGCTCACTATGTTTTTTTGTTGCTGTTATTGGTTTTTTCTAGTAAAGACTGAAAAATTGTGTCCCACCGTCTATCATGGAACTGTTATCACCTGGACATGGAAATATTAACTGAGCTGTTCATACCAAGCACGATGGCTAAATGTCCCTTCCCAACCATGTGCTGTGCAACCATGTGCTCCGTGGATGCTTATGTTTCCATCAAGCACCTGGGACACTTGGCCTGGTGCTTTCGGCTGATAGAAAGATTATTAACACAGGGACCCAGATTGAACTCACATACATTATGATGACAGCCCCTCTAGACTGCAGTGACAGAGGTAAAAAATGACAACTGGGGCCACCATTCTACTTCGGCTGTAAACTCTTTACATTTTTTCCCCCATTTACGAAAAGCACTGAGTACAGAGGGGATAACTGATTCATGATGCCAGGGTCTGTTGTTGGCAAATGACATTCCCGGCTACCGCGCAGCAGGAGTCCTCCCTCAAAGATGTCCTTTTGGATGTCCTTTTCTGTTCTTTAATAAGTCAAGCATAAGAATAAGAAAGGCAGGGTGTGGTGGCACAAGTTTTTAATCCCAGGATGTGGGAGGCAGAAGCTGGCAGATCTCTCCGTGAGTTCTAGGCCAGCCTGGTCTACATAATAAGTTCTAGAACAGCCAGGGCCATGTAGAGAGACCCTGTATCAAAAAAAAAAAGCTTCTGGATGACAGTATTTTTTTTTAATTCAGGGCGCTGCTGGTTCAGTATACCCATTTACTGAGTGCTTTCAAGAACACCGAGAATGGTACAAGTTGGTTTTCACAGTTTTGTCTGTTGCTACCATTTGTTTCCCTGAATCCATTTTTCTTCCAAACACTCTCTAGACTTACAGGAGTAGAATTTCTGTCTGGAGTTTTTCAAGTCAAGAGTGAAGTTATTGATTATTCCCTGAAAGGGGAATGGATGGAGTAGTTAATAATTATTCCACTACCAAGTTTGACTCTTTCTTGTTGTGTACAAGGGCCAGATTAACAATGCCAGGGAAAGCAAACGACTCAGCAGGGACAGGAACAGGTGTGCCCAAGTCTTAAAAGGCCAAAATATTTCACAAAGTATGTCACTAGTGCTGGGTTTTTGTTTTTGTTTTTAAACAGTGGCTGTGTTTGGTTTTTGGTGGATAAACTTTTTTTTTTAACTTTCTTAACTCTGAAGTGACGACACCTTTGCATTTTACAGACATTTCTTCACTTAAGTTGACGACTGAATCCCACACATAAATTCCAACTCACGCTTAGCAAGGAAATGCATGAGGGACAAAGGGTTTTTTTTTTTTTTTTTTTAAATCACAGCTAAGAAAAGGTAATTCACCCCGCCCCTCCCCCAGAAGAACACCCATTCAAGGGCCAGTTTCAAAGCTCCCAAGTGAAACCGTAAATAACTCACGTGGTTGTGAGCTCCCCTCGGCAGGGCACACCACACCGCCCTCCACCCTCCCTTCTTAACGTGCCATTACCAGGTGGGGAGGGGATATACTCCTTCAGCTTAAGTATCTCCCCAAACAAGGAACCAAAACACACCTTGTCAGGTTCGGAACTAGCTCCAAACCTGGGATCTTTTAATTCCCTCTAATAGCTGCTTTCCACAGAGACGTACCGGGTCCCCTACCCCTGGGGCACAGAAAAACCAATCAGTGTCATAAATCCCCCTAGCTTTCAACTCTCTCTCTCTTGAACTGGGGCGGGTGGGGGGAGGGGCGACCCAACATCAACACTTACACTAAACCCCTCAATGCTCTACAGAAATATGCTGGCTTATTTCCTTTGTTTGGTCATGTTATACTTGATCAAGTGTGAACGATTAAACTGGTTTCATTAAAGGCAAGTACATTCACGGCTAGCATTCAACTTCAATGGCGACTATAAGCATATTTTGCAAGAGGGAGGACCTGCTTCTTGCTTGAAACCGACCAGCTCATTAACTTTTCTTTGGGGGGCTATAAAAAGGGCACTGGGGGTTTTTCCAGGAGTGTGTCAGAGCCAGACAAAAGGATATTCAATGTTCCAACTTTAAGATACAGTTGCTATTTATTAAAATAAAAAGGAAACCTTGTTTTCACATTAAAGTTGCTGGGGCTGAAAATGTTGAATTAGCATTTAAAATATTACTTTGTAATTGCTGTTAAGAAGTACTCTTTGAAATCCAGTATAAAAACAAGATCCTTTTAAAATCCCATTACTCAAGACGTAAAAGATTTATTTTGAAAATTTTTTCAAACCAGAATTCTCCGAAGTAGATGGAAACTAGTTCTTTGAGAATCTATCTAAAGGCAAACAGCAGCCCCAGGAGCTGAACGCGAGGTAATTTTTAAACCGTCTTTGAACCCAGCACGAGGAGAGGAGGCGGTATCTCCCTCCGAAAAGAGGTCCGATAGTTTGATGCATCCCGTCAAAGTTAGAAAGCAGAACCACTTTTGTAAGCCCCCTACCCCAATGCAATGTTCCCCCAAAAGTCACCCACCTCAGATAAAAATACACACGTCCCAAAGAATCGCAAATAAAGGCGTTTAGCATTTTAAATTTCCAATGCATCGAGTTCTCTTTCCTACCCTTCCAGCCACTCGCCACCAAGGACTCTCTAAGAAGTTCCCCCCATTACTAATTTTTAAAGAAAAGAGGGCAAATATCCAGGAAGGTCTGTTTGCCCGAGGATGGGAGCCTGGCGTGGCGACGTAGGCCATTGCCAGCAACCTCCAAGCACGCAGAGATTTCATAAATATCCCCCCTGCTCCCCTACAAAATCCCAAACGAGGGGGTCCCCTGGAGCCATCCGCTGCTTGGGCCGCCTCTGGGAAAAGTAGGGGGTGGGGGCTGGGCAGGGGTACCACGAACACGCGCGCACTCGCACCCTGGGTGTCCGCGACCATCGTCGCCGGCGGAAAGCAAGCCACCGGAGGGAGTGTGTGCGCGCGAGTGTGTGCCCGCGGTGACCGCGCCAAGCTCTCGGGCCCGCGGCCTCCGAGCCCCAGGGCGCAGCATGGGCTGCAGGCGACCGGCCACGCCGCGGGGCCTCCCGCAGGAGCAAGGCCTGGGCGCGCCGGTACTCCCGCACTGCCCAGCCCGGGTCGCCCAAGGCGCTGGGGAGGGCGCGAGCCGGAGAAGAAAGGCTCTTTCCGCAGGTCGGTCAGGCTCCGCGAAGCAGACCAGGAGCAGGGAAGCGACCGCGGCGGCCCGGCCGTACCCACGCCACGCTGGGTCCCTGCTGCCCAAGGCGCGCCCTAGTCAGCCCCTTCTACGAAACTTTCTTTTTTGCCTCGCCCCACCCGAAAAGTGCGGCCCGGGCGAGGGCGCCGAGGACAGCCGGCGGAGGGCGAGGAGGAAGTGGTGCCCGCGGGAGCGCGGCCGGGCAGAGGAAATGCCCGCGCCGCCCGCCCCCGCCCTTGCAGCCCGCCCCGGCCCCCCGCCCCGCCGCGACTTTGGCGGGCCGAGCCCCGCGCGCCACTGGCGGCGGCGGCGGCAGATGTGGCCCCGGCTGCCCCAAGGAGCCAACAATGCCGGGCCGGCAAAACAAAAGGGATCCGCTTCGCCTCCTCCCCGGCCTCTCACTTACACTCTCGGGGAGCCGCGCGGGATCCCGGGCCGACAGGGGCCGCGCCCCCAGGGGCCCCGAGTCACGCGCGCCCCGACTTGTCCCCGCCGACCCCGGCCTCTCTTCTCCCCCCACCCCCCGCCCGCCTCACAGGCGCAAGGCCTGCCGCACCCCGGTACGCTCGGACTCCTGGTCCCCAGGGATCCGGCCGTATTGTCCCCGCGGCGCGCAGCGCGCTCGTCCAAGATCGCCAGCTGCCCCCGCGCGCGTACCCACCGGGCTCCAGGAGCAAGCCGGGGGCGCCTAGGAAACCGTCGCCAGACGCCGCCGCCGCTGCCCTCTGGACGCCGCTGCGCTCCGGGTTTTTCTTTCCTTTTTTTTTCCAATCCTGATGGGAAGGAAGGTGACCGCCTACTTCGCATTCATCAACTCTCATCACAACAACAAAAATCCTGGCGCAAAGGGCGGCCAGCAGGCGCAATCGGTGGCGAGGGGCGGCGGGCGATAACCCCCAGGCGGGCGTCCACCCCCGGGCGCAGCGTGCGGACACGGGGCCGGGGGCGCTGACCAAAGATGTCCTCGGATGCCGGCCCGGTGTCCTTCGCCCTCCTCCTCCTCCCGGAGTGGCGCAGTGAGGCGCGGGCACGGCGCCCCAGCCAGCGGCCGCAGGTGAGGCGGGGGCGGCGGCAGCCCCAGCCCTCCCCGAGGACCCCCCCTCTTACCTCGTCCTGGGTCGCCGGCGTCCACGGAGAAGGGCGCCCACCCGGGAGGCGGCGGCGGTAGCGGCGGCTCCCGCCCCTCCCACCCCACCCGGCGGCGGCGGCGGTGGTGGTGGCGCTGGCGGTGAGGCCCCCCCTCAGCGCGGCATGGCTCCCAGCTCGCTCTCCCGCTCCTCTGGGCGCCGCTGGTTCCTCTGGGCCGCTCCCGAGCCACCTTAAAATGACACGCGCACACAGAGACACACACACAAAAACTTAATCTCTCCAGCTCCGCGCCCCACCCCCTCCCTCCCTCCCCTCCCTTCCTTTCCCTTCCCTTCCCTCCCTTCCTTCCCTTCCCTTCCTCCTCCTCCCGTCGCCGCCGAGCCTCTTCCTACTTCCCCACCCACCCCACCCCCTTCCCCCGCCCACCGGCTCCCGATCACCCCCCCCCATCCCGGCCGCGCGCCCTCTCGCCAGCCCCGGGGCCAGGCGGGGGCTGCGCTGGGGGTCCCCGGCCCGCGCCCGCGCCGCACCGCGCTCACCCCCCAGAGGATGCTGGCTGCAACTTGGATCCGGGGAGGGAAGGTCCTAGAAGCCGAGCGCCTCCCGGCTATTTGCTCTTCTTTATTTGTTTTCTCCTCCCGGGAAGGAGGAGGAAAGCGCAGAGAAAAGGAAAGGAAGGACGGAAGCGGCGCGGGCCGCTGCTCCGGTGCCCTCCGGCTGCGCAGGAGCGAGGCGGGAGGCGAGGTGAGGGTCCCCGCTCGCTCACTCGCTTTTTTTTTTTTTTCAAAGGCGGGGTCTCTCTTTGCAAACCAATGACACAACCCCACATGGTCCGGTCTCGCCCCTACAGATACTTCTCACTACAAATCGGCTCTCTCCAGGGATTAGCGGCTACGCGAAAGTGCACACTGGCGCTGCGGGCAGCCGAGGGGGCCGGGCAAAGCCGGCACTCCCCGGCCCAGCCCCACCACACCCTGGAGGCTCTGGGGAGGCGCGGGGGTCCCGAGGCCGGTGCGGTGACTCCACCCGCCCTCGCCTTCCTTCCTCCTCCGCCCCTTCCACGTGGGGCCCGCCACGTGGGGAGACGCGAGCTCCGGCGGGCCTCGCCGCGGTCCCCCGGGTGGCCCCGGCTGGGTAGGGCCCCCGCCACGCCCGCGCAGCAGACCTGCCCTCTACTCGGCCCCGAGGCTCCAACTTCCTCCTGGGCCCTGCGCAGGCCACTGGTGCCGTCCCAGGCCCGCGAGGTCAGGCGCGGGCCGGCCACAGGGGGCACTTGCGTTCCCCGATCCCAGATCCCGGAGACCGTGCCGGCTGTGGGTGCGCGCGGAGACTGGTCTGTGTGCTGGAACTTGCCGCAGTGTGTTCGCTACGAGAAGCTAAATGTTTTTACACATTTAAAAAATTTGTCTTTTCTGCTGTCTAGATGTCGCTGGGGCTATTTTGAAAGCCTTGCCTTGGGACGGATCTCCAGCCTCACTGAGGCCTTGGGGGCCCGAGGGTCGCTTGCGCGGTGCCCCTTCACGGGTCCACAAGTATCTCGGTGTTCAGCGATTGGAATCTGGACACCCAACGACGATGGGGCACTGCGGCCGCGCGAGACTAGACAGCATCTGGGCTGGATTCCTTGGCCATGACCCGCGACATCCGAGCGCTGTCCCCGGAAGGGAGCCAGCTCCTTGCGCCTAGGGCCTCCCTAGCTTACTAACCAGACTTTAGGCGAGCGGCTTCAAAGGACCCCTGTAGCGCTGAGCAGAGCCCTTGGGTGCAATTGTTTTTAAATCTTTCGGGTGCTAGCGATTGGATTGAGATGTTGGACTGTATGATCGAGAGGAGGGGGTCTAGTGTCATGACTTTGAAGGTCACAGAGACCGCCGCCATTCAGAGAGCCACTTCGAGTGGTGTGGCCTTCTAAGGACCGGAGAAATTTATAGCGGACATGAGCCGCGTGAGGACTCCGAGCCCCTGAACCCATCGCTGTGCGTTCTGGAGAGCACTTTATCTCGTCCTGTTTGCTAAAGTGCACACCCAGATGCCGCCTGCAAGACTGGCAATGTGTGGTTTCTATGGTTGTGGCATAGTCAAACTGGTTTTAAAACTAGTTTACAAACCTTTTCTGAATGGCAACGCGGGAATGGTCCCTCCCAAACACACTTAACATGGTTTTTAACGTGCCCCTAATAGGCCTGGGGCTGGTCAGTCGCGAAGTAGCTCACCATCTTGATGTCCTGTGAGAGAATTCACAGGTGTGCACCCACCCCAACCCCTCCATCTGTCAGGGCTTTGTATTCTCATAAATTGCTCTGAAGAATTCACTGTTTCCCCAGCAGCTTCCCTCCAAGGTCGTGGGGCCCAAGACCTGCTTGTAAACTGACCTCGTCGCATAACCCAGGCTCCTGTGCCACCAGTTCCTGCTTCATGAGTTCCTTGGCCCTAAACTGTGGTGGTGAAGGCTCCTGCGTCTTGTTTCTCAGATCTTTGCCCTTCCTGGCCCTCTCTTCTTACCAAGAAACCATAGCCAGCTGGCTTTTCTTATTGCTTGTTCAGCTTTCCTCCGGTCTAATTTTGAATTCCACTTGAGAAAAATACCATGGTGGGTCCTGCAGGGTGGCACAGCCTGCACGGATCGGAGTTCAGTCCCCAGTGCCTAGTAAAAGGCGCCAAAACTACACAGAGAAACCCTGTCTCGAAAAAACAAACAAAAAAGTAAAAGGAAAGAGCGGACGAAATTGTCCTCAGACCCCTGCTCATGCATCACATATCACACAACCATAAGAAAACACTACCCTCTTAGGAACGCAAAACTAAAAATCATTTCGAACTTCTGACTGACGGCCTGCATTTTAAAATATGGAGCCCAGCCTGGAGGAAGTAGCGCTGTAGGCAGAACACTGGACTGGCTTATAGGAGGTCCTAGGTTCATCCCTTGCTTCTGGGGACAAGGGATCTGACAACCACCCAGTGATGTTGCACTGGTAATACTTTGGGGCTGGCAAGATGGCTCAGTGTGTCAGGTACTTGCCCCCAAGCCGGACAACCTAGAAAGAGCAAACCGACTTCCTCCGGCCACCATACATGTATCATGGACAGCATGCCCACCACACAAAATATAAATAAGTGTACTAACATTTTCAAGAAATGTAAGTCTGGTGCTGGAGAGATGGCTCAGGTTAAGAGAACCAGCTGCTCTTCCAGACGACCTGGGTTCAATTGCCAGCAACCCACGTGGCAGTACACACATATCTGTAACTCCAGTTCCAGGGCTTCTGACACCCTCACACAGACATACATGCAGACAAAATACCAATGAACATAAAATTAAAAACAAAATTAAAAGAAAAGAAATGTAAGTCCAGTTACCATCAGCATGTAAATTAGTTCAGATAGTAACCATTTTTTAAAAAGATGTTGAATATAGACAACAAAACCAGAAACAAAAACCCAGTCCTGGAGAGATAGCTAAGCAGTTAGGAGCACTTGCTGCTCTTCCAGAGGACCTGATTTCAGTTCCCAGTAACTACATGGGGTGGCTTACAATCACCTGTAACTCCAGCCCTAAAGGGATCTGATGCCCTCTTCTGATCTACATGGATACCAACGTGTGTGTGTGTGTGTGCATACACACACACTCAAAAATCTTTAAGTGTTAAGTAATTTATTTATTTCTTTACTTACTTAATATTTATTTAATTTGTAATGTGTGCTGGTATTTTGGCCTGTGTGTATGTCTGTGTGAGGGAGTCGGATCCACTGGAACTTGAGTTACAGACAGTTGTGAGCTGCCATGTGGGTGCTGGGAATTAAACCTGGGTCCTTCGGAAGAGCAGCCAATGCTCTTAGCCGCTGAGCCATCTCTCCAGCCCTCTTTAAATTTTAAAAATATAAACAGGCTCTAATAGATACTTCTCTGAGGATGATGCACGAATGGCCAATAAGCACGCTCAGAAAATGTTCAGCCTCAGTCATTAGGGAAATACAAATGAAAACCACAGTAAGATACCACTAATTATCCACTGGGATGACTATTATCAACAGAAGGGGAAATGATGTGGAGAAATGGGAGCGCTTGTGCGGTGCTGATGGCGGTGTGAATGCTTCCCCCACAGTGGGAGTGGCAGCTCCTTAGAAAGTTAACACGGGATTGCTATATGATCCAGAAATGTCACTTCAGCACTGGAGTGGGGTATAGTGTGGGAAGAGACAAGAGAGTCACTAGGGCTTCATAGCCAACCAGTCTAGGTGAAAAAATGTCCCCAGTTCAGTAAAAGGCCCTGTCTCAGGGGGCTGAAGTGGAGAGTGACAGAGCAGGACACCCACATCCTCTTCTGGCCTGTGCAGTGGCATGGGTATGCACAGCTGTATACACACACACACACACACACACACACACCATTAAAAAGAGGAAATTCTGAATTGCTAAAATATAGATGAACATTGAAAAAAAGGCTAATGAAGCAAACCGGGCACCGAGGACAAATAATTTGTACCTCCATTTACGTGTGGTTAGTAAATGGGCAAAACCGTAAGAAGCACGGTGGTGGTGATTGGAATTGAAGGGAGGCAGTGTGGGCATTATTGTTCAGATTGTAAAGCGCTTACCCTGCCAGACTGGTGACCTGAGTTGGAGCCCCGGAACCGCATGCGTGTGTCCATACATACACACAGAAAGTTACAGTAACTTACTTTTTACAAGACGGGAAAGACAGAGGCAGATGGGGTGGTTCACGTGTGCAATTCTAGCTGGGGCAGGAGGATGGCCATGAATAATTCTAGTCCGTCCTGAGCTACAGAGTGAGACGCTGCCGTGGAATGAAAGAAAGAAGGTGAGGAGACAAAGTTGGGTACGGAGGGGTGGCTCCTGAGGCTCAGTTTCTGCACATTGGCAAAGTTGTGGTCATGAGAAAGCCAGAGGGAAATTCTGACAGGCTGGAAATTAAAAAGCCGTGTGTGCTTTTATATTTAAGAGGAAGTAACGTGAGTTCACAAAGTTGACAGCAAACTCTTTTTTTTTTTCTAATAGTATTTATGATCAGGCCAGGCCTGGTGTCTCACAGTTCGTCCAGCAACTGAGAGATTGGAGCTAGGGGATGACGGCAGGTTGGAGACCAGACTGGCCTGCCAGGCCAGCACGGGCTACACAGTACGATCTTGCCTCAATAGGCAGACTCTCCATTCGCTTTCCTGATGGTCCGAGTTAAGTCAAGAGTGTTGCTTTCTCTTGGGCAAGGGCATTAACTAAACTTCTGGGGGTCTGTAAAGCCCCCATAGCACTGGGTTTCCAGTGGGCATAAGCTCTGTTGCCAAGGACTCTCCATTCCCCTGGCTTCCATCTTTCCTGGTTGTTTGCATGTGGTTCAAACTCGCCCTCAGAAATTTCCTTCCTTGTTCTGGGGATATCCGTTCCCTCTCCATTTGGGGTTCAAGAGAAAGGGTCCTAGCTTTGCATTGAGAGGTCCGGCCTGGTAGAGGCCCATGGCTCTAAGATGAAGGCAGGTGTGCCTGGGGCAGGTGTAAGGGCACAGTCTGCTGCCCTCACCAAGACTGCTGGCGGTGCCATTCTTCCCTTAATTTGCAGTGCCTATTCTTTGCCTCTCGGCCTGGGGTTCCATCTGGCCTCAATGAAAGGGAGTGGAGACATTCTCACGGTTTGCCATCAGATCACGCTTCTGCATTCACCGCTAGTATCCCAGGGAAGGGACAGTGAACGCTGGCCCAGACGCTTCATCAACACCTGGCATAAAAGGATGCTCTGTGGTGCACACCCATAATCCCAACATTCCTCCAGATGTGGAGGCAGGAGGATCAGAAGTTCAAGGTCATCTTCAGCTACACAGGAAGTTCAAGTCCGGCCTAGACTACCTGAGACACTGACAAAAAGCCAAAGCCAGCCACCTGCTGGTTAGTGTCTGTCACCTCTGTTCTGCATTGCCACCTACAAGAGAAACAAAGTGTTATCTCTGAGCCGGACTTAATGGTGTCAGATGCCTTTGACTCCAGCCGTCAAGAGGTACAAGCAGGCTGATCTCAATGAGTCTGAGGCAAATCTAACCTACACAGTGAGTTCCAGGACAGCTGGGGCTGTGTAGAAAGAGACCCTGTCTCGCCGGGCGGTGGTGGCGCACGCCTTTAATCCCTGCACTCAGCCAGGCGGATCTCTGTGAGTTCGAGGCCAGCCTGGGCTACCAAGTGAGTTCCAGGAAAGGCGCTAAGCTACACAGAGAAACCCTGTCTCGAAAAACCAAAAAAAAAAAAAAGAAATAGACCCTGTCTCAAAACGAAACAAAAACAAAAATAAACAAAAAAACCCAAACAACAAAACAACGCGCATCTCTCTTGAAGAGTTAATGAATTTGCTTCCTAACAGATCCTTAAAACTGCAAGCCACCCAGATTCAGTGTTACCTCGGCCCACAGGATATCCAAAATTAAATTTAGTGCTTAAGGATACCAGCCATTCTAGCATTCTGGTACTATTTTCTTCCTTCCTTCCTTCCTTTCTGCCTGTCTTTTATCCTTTTTCTTTTCATTACTATTATTATTATTATTATTACTACTACTACTGGTTTGGGCTTTGATTTTTCAAGACAGGGTTTCTCTGTGTAGCCCTGATTATCCTGGAACTCACTCTGTAGACCAGGCTGGGTTTGAAATCAGAGACCTGCCTACCTCTGCCTCCAGAGTGCCAGGATTAACGACATGGGCCGCCGCCGCCACCTGCCTTCTAGTACTATTTTCTATGAAGCCACATCCCCTTTTTGCGCTTGCTGCGGGAGAGAGGTGGTTAGTGGTGTTTCAAAGGCATTGTGAATTTTTTCGTATGATCCTATTTAGAAAAAAAAAACTTTTTTAGGGGGCAGCACTTGAAACAGGATCTCATGTTGTTCAGGCAACCTGGCCTGCGAGCTTCCCGGGACTCTTCTGGCTTCTCTTCTTTTCTTGCCATAGCAGCACCAGGATTACAGACACACACTACCACGCCTGGCTGTTTTCTGTGGCTTCTGGGGATCCGAATTCATGTCCTCACATTTGTGTTTTACCTACTGAGCCATCTCCCCAGTCCCCGGTGTTTGCAAACATGTACTAGTATGATGAGTTCATCTACTCATAGGTCTGGTCCCTCAGAGGCACTCGGGATATTGCTTGGACGGTTGGGTGGGTGGGTGGGAAGATGGATGGATGTGTGGGTATGGGGATAGGTGGATGGATAGACAGACGAATGGATGGGTGGATGGTTGATGTGTCGGTAGAAAGATAGATGAGTGGGTGGATAGATGGATAAGTGGATGGATGAGTGAATGCAGTGGTTGGATGGATGGTTGAATGAATAGATGGGTGGTTGGGTAGATGGATGGTTGAAAAGATAGATTGGGTAAGAGGGTATATCACTTGTTGAATATGAGATCCAAGAGAAATTACTTCCTGTAAAGTAGTAAAAATGCAAAATCCGCAATCTGAAAGATCCTTTCCTTTCCCTTCTCTTCATTTCATTTGTCGAAGTTTCGTTTGCATGTATGCATGTGCACTACATGCATGTCTGGGGCCTGTGTCTGCATGTATGTATGTGTACCACGTGAATCAGCCCAGTGCCTGTGGAGGTCAAAAGAGAGTGTCAGGCCCTCTAGAACTAGAGTTACAGATGTTTGTAAGCTGCCGTGTGGAAAGAAGCCTGGTCCTCTGTGAAAGCAACAAGAGCTCTTAACCACTGAGCCTTCTCTTCAGCCTCATCACTTTCTCTTAAACATTTTTTTTTTAAATAGACTGACCCAAACTCAATATGCCATTGAGAATGACCTGAACTTCTGATGCTTCTGCTTCCACCTCCCAAGTACAGGGATTACAATGAGTATGTTCAGTGTGATTTGTGTGGTGCATGCCAGCTCTCTACTCTATCCTCTGAGCTGTATTGCCAGCCCCCTGACAATTCATTTCAGATTCCTTATGAATGGTTTCTTGGTGGAAGGAAAGGCATTATAACATAAATGTAGCATTTGGACAGACATGGACTGAATAAGACAGCAGAAGCTGAGCTCGTGCTGAATACCAGCTGCATGTCAGATCTGTGAGCACAGACGTCAGAGAGGACAGGCAGGAAAGCTGGACGGAGGTTCTGGGGAAAACCTTTGCACAATAATTGAGTGCTGTGAGCTGGGCATGGTGGTCCACGCCTTTAATCTCACCACTGGAAAGGCAGAGAGGTAAGCTGAGCTCTGTAAATTTGAGGTCAGCCTGGTCTACATAGTGAGTTCCAAGACAGCCAGGGCTGTATAAAGAGACCCTATCTCAAAAAAACAAAATATAATTTGAATGCCGTGCAATTTAGGTTCCAGGTGATTCTCAGCTATTGAATACAGGTCCCAGTGTTGATCTAGGGACTGCTGAGCTGAGAAGCACCATCCATCCCTCTAAATCCAGTCCTACTGCAGAGGAATGATTCACAAGGTAGGCTCCATAAGGTAATGCCACCATTCACTGCCTGTGTAAAGCATCAACACGGTGTGAGGTGCATGGTGCTTAGAGCAGGTACCACTGGGCTCTGCCTAAGTTACAGTCTATGTAGGAGCTTGGAGCCCCGTTCTTAGAAACACCCATATGAGCCGGGCGGTGGTGGCGCACGCCTTTAATCCCAGCACTCGGGAGGCAGAGGCAGGCGGATCTTTGTGAGTTCGAGGCCAGCCTGGTCTACAGAGTGAGATCCAGGAAAGACGCAAAGCTACACAGAGAAACCCTGTCTCGAAAAAAAAAAAAAAAGAAAGAAAGAAAGAAAGAAACACCCATATGCTCTACAACTCCTATCTATCTTGAAATTCTTAGTCTGGTGGTGGTAATCCCAGAACATGGGAGGGTGAAGCAGGCACACAAGTTTGAGGTCAACCTAGACTGCATAGTAAATAGCAGGGTGGTTGGGGCTAATGAGGGAGACCCTGTATCAATATGCCCCTGCTAGACAATCATCATTAATAGTTACTAATAAGAATCTTGTATTTTCTTTTGCTCTCTGTAGCTCTGTGGCTGGTGCTCCTCTCCATAACTGTCTGGCCCACCTGTGAGCTCCGCAGCAGGTGCAGCCAACAGCTGGGTGTAAGCTCACTCCTTTCACACCTCAGCAGATACTTGTAGCACAGGGAGCCCTACATGCTACATTTGGCTTTGATCACCTCCCACACCAGAAGATGCCACCCACTCACTCACCCCTCAGACCGTCAAGGAGCACAGGGAGATCATGGGCAAGAGGGAAACCCATGGGCAGCTGTCACTGAGGGGCAGGAGCAAAGTGCTGGGCTCTTGCCCTTTAGAGAGACGTCCTGGAATGTGTTCTGTGCACTTCTCAGAGTTCTCAGCATAGTCTAGCCCTAGGGCCCTTGTGCTTATCCCCTTCCATATATTCTTGGGTGACCAGTTAGCAAAACTAGGTGCTTGAATCGACAGATTTTTATTATCTCCCAATTCCAGAAGCAAGAAACAGCATCCAAGGTCTCTGTCTCTATGGCTGTCCTTCTGAAAGCCCAGGGGAGATCGGTCCTTCCTGCTTCCTTCATGCTCTTGCGGCTTGTGGACACACTGTTCCAGCATCTGCCTGTGCCATCATGTGACCATTTACTGGGTTTCTGTGTCTGCATCTTGTTTTTCTTCCCTTAGCTCGAAGGTCCCTCCTAATCCACCTCACCTGAACTCGGTTACTGCTGCTGAGACTCTCTTTCCAAATACAGTCCCATTCACAGGTACCAGGGGTTAGAGGCTGACCCTCACCACATTCTGTCCACCAGAGATAAAAAATGGAAATGACTTAAAATAAAATGGTTACCTTAAACGGACAATATTGACACTCTTGTATCACTCTAAACAAAGCTAGGCTTCTTGGGGAGATCGGAAGCCTGTGTTGACATAGCCTTTGGTAAATGAGCTAAGAATTTAACTTTTGATACAGGCCACAATCCCAACTGGGCTTTTCCCACAGAGATATTTATAAATAGCCTCAGGTGTTAATTATTAATACATATAAAACATTTATTAAACACTTTATTCATGCCAGGCTCCTGTGCCAGGCACTAGCAAGACAAAGAGGAATCCAGCACAGACTTAGTCCTTCAGGAGCTCTGGTCCATTAGGCAATGGTAGTAATTTACAAGTGCACACAGGTGCACTTATTAATGCCTGCTGTATGCATAGCACAACCTGGTTTTGTGGTCTTTGCTCTCGTCTCATCTGCAATCTGATTGGGCTGTCCAAGGCAAAGTACCTAAACACGAGAGTCATTGCAGAAAGCTTCCAAGGGGCACTCAGCCTGAAAACTAGGATGTCTGCCTGACTCACCGTTTCCTTCTGACCAGGTGGTTCCTGGCTCTCTCTGGGCCTCCTTCTTTTCTCTATAAAGATGAGTTAATGATGAGGCTCAGCATGTAAAAACTTTGCAAGCCTGGTGGCGTAAGTTCAATCCCCAGAACCCATGTAAATGTGGAAGGAGCGAGCTGACTCCACAAAGTTGTCTCTGACCCCACATGTGGGCCTTCACATGGGCTGCCTCGCACAGCATGCATATATAAACCCAGTAATAATAAATAAATTTAAAACTGAGCAAATGAGATGAGAGGCTAGAGGGACTGGAGATGAAGTTCAGTGGGAAGGGTGCTTGCTTAAAACGCATGGAGCCTCTGGTTCGATACCCAGTATATAAACATGAACTGGGTGTGGTGGTGCACGCCTGTGATCCAAGCACTTGGGAGATGGAGACAGGATGGTTGGCTACATAGTAGGTTTGAAGCAAACCTGGGATACATGAGATCCTGTTTCAAAATCGGGAAGGGGTGGGGTGGGGCTGGAGAGATGACTCAGCAGTTAAGAGTGCTTGCTGCTCTTACAGAGGATTCAGGTTTAGTTCCTAGCACCCATATTAGGCAGCCCAGAATTAACCTTTAACTCCTGTTCTAGGGGATCTGATAACTCTCTTTTGGCCTCTGTGGGCATTGTACACATGGGGCACACACACACATAATTAAAAATACAAAAAAAGTAGGGACTCAAACCTCCATCATCATCATAACCTACTGTACCAACCTAGACATTTGCTAAGCACCTACTGTGTTTCAGGCATAGTATGGTGTACTTGCCAAACATCATTGCATTTCATCTTCACAATATTCCTATGAGATCTAGATTTGAGACTAGTTCATTTTAGCTGAGTTCTACTGCGCATGCTATCTAGAAGGCCAAGACAGTATGCTCTGGAGTCAAGGTCAGCCTTGGCA